GGCCACACCGGCCTTTTGTTCCTGTGGGTGCTTGGATCTGGACACAGGCTGTGTTTCCATAGCAAGCACCTGCTGAGCCACCTCTCCTGTCTGGAGAGACCAAGGTAGGAGGATCAAGGTTGATTCATCAGCTAGGACAAAGTTGGAAGAATCACCTGCAAATGGCTAACAGATCCCACTCTGGTGACCTCTGTGAAGTCACTGGTGTGCAAAGGTGTACAACTCATTTTCCCCAGTATACACCACCTGCCAACACCTAGAATTTCCTCCAACTGTGGAGGCCATGGATACAGGTGGGGCTGCTCCCAAGGCACAGACCTATCTGCCTCTCCACTGGCTAGTTTGTGTTGATCTGATACTAACTACAGTAGCTGGGAAGAGGGAGCCTCACCTGAGAAAGTGCCGCCCCCCCCCCCCCCCCCCCCCCCCCCCCCCCCCCCCCCCCCCCCCCCNCACACCCCCGCCTGTGGACAAAGCTGTGGTGCATTTTATTGGTTGATGACTACTGTGGGAGGGTCTAGCTCCATGTGGGCGGGGCCACCACTGGATCATTAGAGCAAACTAGTAAGTAGCACCCTCCATGACCTCATGACCTCGGCATCAGTGACCTGAGTGTTCTATACTGAAACACACACTCTCCTCCCAAACTGTTTACAGTCAGAGTGTTCTATACTGAAATACACACTCTCCTCCCCAAACTGTTCTATCACAGCGACCCAGAAGCTCACCGGAAGTGGCTGCAGCTGTCACTTCCCTCAGGAGCTCCTTGCTCTAAGAGCTCACACAGGAGGAGGCCCTTGTCCCCACTGGGCAGCCCCACGCTCCTCTCACCACACTGCCTCAAGACATTATGGCCTGTGTGGTGGGCACCATCTCCCCTGGCCCTAGGGGAACAATGAGAAGACAACCATAGCACAGGTAGGTTGAGCCACTTGCCCAACAGCCTCACAGGGCTGTGGGATGAGCTGTGTGACCCAGGAAGAGAGGGATGAACCTGCTCAAACAGGGCCTGGACTCCCTGCTGGATGTGCCTTTGGGCTCTGCCAAGGCCCTGGGATCGGCACCCTGAGTTCCCTGCTCTCACAACTGCCATTTCTTCATTCAGATCAAAACAAAAAATTTTCAGTTAAGAAACTTGAGCTTTTAGAACTCTTAGACTTCCAGAATGATATGGCAGGCAGTGTGGATCCCCACACACCATTCCAAACATGCCATTCTGATCCAGGTGTGTGATCCCCACACACTATTCCAAACATGTCATTCTGATCCAGGTGTGTGATCCCCACACACTGCTCCAAACATGCCATTCTGATCCAGGTGTGTGATCCCCACACACCACTCCAAACATGCCATTCTGATCCAGGTGTGTGATCCCCACACACCACTCCAAACATGTCATTCTGATCCAGGTGTGTGATCCCCACACACCGTTCCAAATAAGTCATTCTGATCCAGGTGTTGGCAGATCATCACACCATTCTGTGTGTAAGAGTCAAACACTTACACATCCTCATTCTCTGCTGTGAACTCTTCCATGCGTCATTAAAAATGTCTGTTTCCCACTGTGTGAGGACAGAGAAGTGGGGAAAGGGTACATTCTGAAGCTCTCAGGAGATGATGGAGAAATGGTAAAAATGCGTTTAGCCCCAGGAAACCAAGACAATGTTCATTCTTCCTGTAATGGGGAAGGACCCAGGGCACGGCTCATGCCTAGCAAGCTCTCTTCCCCAGTCTATCCCAGCTAGACAGACAGTGTCTGGTGAGGACTGACCTCCAGCCCTTCTGAGCCGTGTCCTGTGCTGATTTTGGTTGTTGTCTTGTTCTCTGAGTTGATTTCAGAGGCTTCCCTCTTTCTGGGAGGCTCTAGGCTTCTGATCCTGGTCCCTGACTTGTGTGTTTGCTCTGAACTCAGCAAGGCGTGGCTGCCCTTAGTGGCTACTGATTGCTCCCAGGTATGTACTGAACTCCAGTTACCAAATGGTTCTTAGCTAATACTCCTTTCTATTTTTAATTTGGTCTTAAGATCACTGGATACCGAATAAGCCAGTCTGTGAAGACATAAGCGCATCCTCTCCATCCAGCTCTTCCTGAAGGTCTCAGCTGAGCCTTCAAATGCCGACGCAAATGAGCCCCCTACCTGCTCTCACCCTAAGGAGACCCTAAGGAGGCCTAGTTTGCCTGTGTGTTTAGGAATGCCAATCACCCACTGCGAGGGACGGAGCTCTGCTTCTCCCTGGGAGGTGCAGCGAGGGCTCTGAGCTCTCTAACCGTGGTATCCAGGGTCGCTGGCATGCTGGTTAAAATGTCAATCCCAGGCCCAGTGTGAGCGGATCACCTGACAGGCATGGTGGCAGAAGCTGCTTAAGCTTGCTCATCTAGGCCCTCGGCTGTGCTTAGCTCTGGGATGGGAACTGGGGAGGAGGTGGGACAACAGGAGGGGCTTTAACATGTAGGTCCTGAGATGCTGCCTTAGATTCAGGAAATCAAGCCCTCGGCCCAGGCACACATGTGTTTTTAAAGTTCTATGCCTAAAATGTACAACCTTCTTTAGGAATAGATGGCTTAAACATTTTAACCACATTTTGCTCTTAAAATGGGAATTGGGTTGATGTGAACTAGAATAATATAATAGCCATCTGGGCGTAGCAGAACTTTTATTGTAAACTAACAATTTCTCTTTTTAAAATTTCTTTTATTTTATTGGTGTTTTTCCTGTGTATATGTCTGTGTGAGGGTGCCTGATCCACTGGTATTGAGCTGCCATGTAGGTGCTGGGAATTGAACCTGGGTCCCCTAGAAGAGCAGTCAATGCTCTAAACTGCTGAGCTATCTCTCCAGCCCTGACCACTAACTTGTAATCACTTCACAGGGGAAGTGAAGGACAGCCCTGAACTAGCTCTATAGACCAGGCTGTCCTTGAACTCACAGAGATCCTCCTCCCTCTCTGCCTCCCAGTGTTGGGATTAAAGGCGTGGAGCCACCATCGCCCAGCTCATAGCTCCATTTTAAACCTGGGCCCAGAAACTGGCCTTGTGACCAGAAGCCTCTCTATTTGTGGCAAAGGGCAGAGCAGGGAGTTGAAGCCACACCTAGACACAAGGCAGACAGAGATGGTGGAATGCCAGGCTGATGGAGGCAGAAAACATGAGCTCTGGGAATGGCCCTTGCTGACTGCGGTGCTGAGGCGTGGGCAGGGTGATCTGAACACGCAGGGCGTCCTCTTCCCAGCACCAGGCTAAGTGGGAAAGGTGAAGAAAAGCTGACCTGTCCCTCGTTTGCGTCCGCACATTGGCTGACACCACATTTCCACAATACCGGATGCTTTTTCCTTTTTCTGTTTTCAAGTGTGTGTATGCGTGTGGGGGCACATATGTATATGTGCATGTGTGTGTGCATGTACACACACGTGTGTTTGTGCACGAGTGTGTGGGTGCATGCAGAGGTTCATGTCAGGAACCTCCCTTCTACCTTATTCACAGGGGCAGAGTCTCTCAGTCAGGCCCAGATGCCTTATGGCTCATAGTGCTGGCCAGCTCGCTCTGGGGTCCCTGTCGCTGCCTCCTGAGGCTGGCATTGCAGGTGTTTGCCACGAGGGTTCTACGGACATGAACTCTGGGTCCCATGCTCTACCTACTGAGCCATCTCCTCAGGCAGTAGAGTTTTCTGATTCCAAGAGAGGTTAAAAACACTTTTCATGTAGATTATCCATATTGTTAGATAAGTTACCGTCTAGACTTTATATTCTAATTTTTCCTGTAAATGGGAAATTTTCAATATTTAAGATTGTTTATTCTTATGAAAGAAAACATGATTTTATATAAAATTTACAATATGCCTCCTGACTTTTTCTTAAGACAGGATTTCACTGCTCTGTAGCCCTGGCTGTTTTAGGACCTGTTCTATAGTCCAGGATGACCTAACACTCACAGACCCACCTAGCCACAATGTCCAGCTTCCTATTGCTTTTAATATTCACTTTATGGGCTTTAAATATGCGAGCCTCTATGTCTGCAGCCACAATGTGTCTGCCTCTCCCCGGTATGTACCCGTCCTAGTTCTCCAGCATGAAGCTCACCGCCATAGGGCTGCTCCACAAGGAGCACCAGGAGCGTGAACAAGGCCGAGCTGAAGGTGAAGACACCCCAGACCCATCTCTTTAGCAGACCCAGGAACTGAGTCTTGTCCCCTGCCATGGGACAAGGAGCCCAGCTGTCTGGGGACCAGACTCTCTTGTCTCCTGGGTTGAACCCCCTTATTAGGCACAGCACTGACATGGGGGTCTCCATCTGCACACTGCCCTGAGAGTCCTCAATCTACCAGAGGGTCAGCTTTTCACATGTCCACCTCCAGTTCTCCAGAGACTGTGTGGTCCAAGAGGTGCTGAGTCCAGGTTGGTCCCTGAGATGAGGTATCTCACTGCAGGTAAATGGGTTGAGCACCTAGGTGTGCATGGCTTGTGCTCCCTCTCCTTGCAGGCAGAAAATCAACAGAGGTGAATTCCAGTGAGCCCATCCCTCTATTATCTTCTCTCTCTCCTCTCTCTCTCTCTCTCTCTCTCTCTCTCTCTCTCTCTCTCTGTCTCTGTCTCTGTCTCTGTCTCTGTCTCTGTCTCTGTCTCTGTCTCTGCTAGTAGATAATGAAAACAATCTTCAGGGCATTCTTTGTGGCTCTGCCCACAGGTTTTCAGTCTCCCTCAGTCTGCAAAATACTATTCGGATCCTGTATACTGGCTTCCCCTCCCTTGTGTTTCTATGAAGGGTGCAGTTAGAAACGGTGTGAGCCGCTCGGGCCGGGTTCTTAGACACCTGCTCTGCTCTGCTCTCCACTCATCCTTTCCTGTGGCCTGCAGGCTCCTGCCTGCATTTCCTGCTGACACTGTAGGACCTGGGTGGGGCTGTCCCATCCTCTGTGGAGCCCACGTGTTTATTTCACTGGCAATTCAATGTGAAGGAAAGCACAGAGAGACCTGACCCCCCCCGATAGAAGAATACCTGGCTTACCTGCTGCTTGAGGGCCTCCAAAGATTCGAATTCCAACCTGGCCAGTTTCATCTGGATGTGCCGTGGTTTATCAGGGATGGCAAAGGCAAGGATGAACTTCAGAGCCAAGAGGGCATGCTGCAAAGAGAAAGACCTCACGTTGACACCGTCACCAACCTGTGGCCATCCTAAAGTTCCTGGACCCTTTCTGTTAACTTTCAGGGACTCTTGAATTAATGGCCTCTGACATAAACAACCGACCAGGCCAGGAGTTGTACTAGCCCACTCTGATGTGGTCAACCCAACAGTTACTAGCTTATTTTGATGTACTCTTTTAAAATAAGTTAATATAATATATTGGTACCATGTGCGGCTCTTGGAGCTTTGTAGAAAAGTAAAGTTTATTGCAAAGTCTTGCACAGAATGTTTGACTTGTGCATTGCCGAGCAGTGTGCTGGGTGCACAGCATCCTCCTCAGTTACAGCACCTGGGTGGGGCCATCCCAGCACCAGCAGTGTCTGTGGCCTGAGTCACAGTCAGTGTGAGCTGAATTCTCCACACCACTGCAGTGCCTGGTGTGTTTTCTCTCACAACATGATAATCGCCACACACTGATGGGCTGGATGTCATTTTAACTGTCCTCTCCACACACGGCAGTGAGACACTGACTGCCCCCCATTCCCTTCTCCTCCAGCACCCTTAGGAAGTAAGTGCCTATGAACACCACACGGCGCACGCACAGCCCCACCCAAAAGGCTTTCTATGAACCCAGCATTGCCTGGTGCCTTGTGAAGAGATCCAACACCCTCAGCTATCTGAATGACCTATAGAGAAAGAGTATGATGACACCACTCGGTCTTAAAGGGAAGAGAGTTAGAATGTGGTCAGGGTGTCCGCAAGAGATGGACACTGAAGATGGGTACACGCACTGTTGACGGGAAACAGACAGGGGGAGGGAAATCAATGAGTCTTTCCTGGAAGATTTCAAAAGATGGAGGAGAAATAAACAGTGGCTCCTGGGAGGAGGGGGCACAATTCTATATGACATCATTAAACGTGTTACATGTGGATGAGAAGGAACCTTCCGGTGTTTGTAGCTGGAGTCGCACCTACCTCCTGGCCTATCCCATCTCTCTAAAATCTGCACCCTTGTTTGTGCCCCTTGGAGTCCTGGTGGGAATCAGTTCAAAAATGGAAACAAAGTCCCCCTGAGTCTCATTTCCCCTGGGTGCGGAGCATTTGGAAGGGACATGGAGCCAGCTGCCAGCTCCCCATCTTTAGACTTTGACGGCGGACATACATCACTTTTATAAAGGAGAAAGTTTACATAAGAAGGAAATGCTCTGCCAGGCTCCTTGCCTTACCTGATCAAGCCTGCCCATTTGCCCAGAAAACAACCTACAACTTGCAGGATCTGGGGCCCAGGAATGAAACAGCTCTGGAGTGGGTACCTGACTAGCTGCTGCTGAGTTGGCGCCTCTACCCCACTTCTGTCCTAATCTGCCAGGGGCTCCCCCTCCTGCATCAGCACCACAGACATTCTGACTTGCTTATCGGAAGGGCTGACATGGAACAAGACACAGATTTGAATGGAGAGCTGGGTGGAAGGTGCCTGTCCACGAAAGAAAGGCGGTCTTAGAGCCACAACTGTGATTATTCATCAGTGATATGCTTTGTTTTTAAGTTGGGTGCTTTGATGTTTTAGAGACAAGGTTTTACTACGCAACCATGTTGGCCTCAAACTCATGACTTGAGGGTTTTGAGCGTTGGACAGGTGAGCACCACACCAGATGCCAGAGCATTTTCTTAAAAGTAAAACTCACAAAACTGTATCCTAAACAAAAGAAAAGAGAGAAGAAGTAGTGTGTGAAGGGGTCGAGTGGGAATTTTAAACCAATAAACAAAAAGCTGGTTCAACACAGCAGTTTGATTAAGCAGTGTTTACAGGGAAAAGCAAAGAGAGCAGGGCCACGGGAAATCAGCTCTGAGTTCAGCACCTCCAGGGTGAGGAGCAGGACCTCTGCTGACCACCAGCCAGCAGGTCACCTCTGTTCATGAAGCCTCAAGCCAGGAGCACAAGGAGAGAAGTCTTATTTTGTGACAACCAGGAAGTCTGGGTAATCAAGGGCAGCAGCTGTATTTTTCTAGCAGCATGTGCCCAGCCCTTGGCTTCTGAAACAAAATGCAAATCAGAGTCGAATTCTTAGGATCCTGAGAAGGGAATTTGACTCCTACAGAGCTTGTGTGTGCAGCAGCCTCAACCCAACCTAAGAAATTTCCTCAGAAAAATAAAAATCGTCTGATCATCAGAAAAACTACCAGACAAATGCTAATTTATAAAAAGTTATGGAAAAGAGCTTGAAAAACAACAATAAATGGGTTACTTTTTTCTTTACCCATTGGTAATGTTTTGTAGTTATTTTATCTTTTAATTCCATTAGATTTATTTTAATATGCATAAGTGTTTTGTCTGCATAAATGTATGTGTACCACATACAGGTCCTGGTGTCCCCAGAGGTCAGAAGAGGGCATCAGATGCCCTGACAGTAAATTACAGATGATGTGAGCCACCGTGTGGTGCTGAGAACTGAACCCAGGTCCTGCTAGAGCAGAACATTCTCTCTGGTCCCTGGGTTTGCTTACATCTCCCCAGGAAAAGCCGCACAGTGAAACATCACATGGTTTGTCTTTGTTTCAGTGAGATAAAGCATAGGAGCTCCTTCGGGGTTTACAAGGAGTTTGTACTCTCAAGGAAGCCGGTCCCGTGACTCCTGCATCCCCTTCCGCCCAGCATCTCCCTTCACTCCCGGACAGGACAGAGCCCAAGAAGCTCGGGAGTGTGCAGGGAGGGGAACAGGGCAGCTGCCTTTCATGTGAAGCACACGCTGCGTGTCTGCTGCTGTGTAGGCTGCCAGTGGTGTCTCCTGCTGCTGTGTGGGATGCAGTGGTGTCTCCTGCTGTGTGGGATGCAGTGGTGTCTGCTGCTGTGTGGGATGCAGTGGTGTCTGCTGCTGTGTAGGCTGCAGTGATGTCTGCTGCTGTGTGGGATGCAGTGATGTCTGTCTGCTGCTGTGTAGGCTGCAGTGGTGTCTGCTGCTGTGTAGGCTGCAGTGGTGTCTGCTGCTGTATAGGCTGCAGTGGTGTCTGAGCTGTGTAGAATGCAGTGGTGTCTGAGCTGTGTAGGATGCAGTGATGTCTGCTGCTGTGTGGGATGCAGTGGTGTCTGCTGCTGCTGTGTGGGATGCAGTGGTGTCTGCTGCTGCTGTGTGGGATGCAGTGGTGTCTGCTGCTGCTGTGTGGGATGCAGTGGTGTCTGCTGCTGCTGTGTGGGATGCAGTGGTGTCTGCTGCTGCTGTGTGGGATGCAGTGGTGTCTGCTGCTGCTGTGTGGGATGCAGTGGTGTCTGCTGCTGCTGTGTGGGATGCAGTGGTGTCTGCTGCTGCTGTGTGGGATGCAGTGGTGTCTGCTGCTGCTGTGTGGGATGCAGTGGTGTCTGCTGCTGCTGTGTGGGATGCAGTGGTGTCTGCTGCTGCTGTGTGGGATGCAGTGGTGTCTGCTGCTGCTGTGTGGGATGCAGTGGTGTCTGCTGCTGCTGTGTGGGATGCAGTGGTGTCTGCTGCTGCTGTGTGGGATGCAGTGGTGTCTGCTGCTGCTGTGTGGGATGCAGTGGTGTCTGCTGCTGCTGTGTGGGATGCAGTGGTGTCTGCTGCTGCTGTGTGGGATGCAGTGGTGTCTGCTGCTGCTGTGTGGGATGCAGTGGTGTCTGCTGCTGCTGTGTGGGATGCAGTGGTGTCTGAGCTGAGCGTTTCCACAGGCTGCACAGCCAGGCATCACAGTCCCTCATTCTCCCTGCGTCTTCCTGAAGCTCTGTGGGCGACACCCAGTGGACAGTGACCAGTGATCACAGGAGAGCAAAGGCTCCTCCCACACGACATTGTTAACCCAGGAGTCTTCTTTCCCTCATGTGTCTGCCATTCCTACATGGTATAACATACAGGTGTGGTCATCTTGTCAAATCTGTCCCCATGGCACTTCAGGTCAGTTTGGGTCTCTAGACTTTAGTGACAGTGGTTGGCCTGCCGTCTATTTGTAGACAAGAACTACTATCAGGATGAGTGTTTACGCCTTTCAGTAGCACCCCTAAAAATCAGAGCATGTCTGCTTATACATAAAGAGAAAGTGGGCCAGAGACACAGCTCACTGTGATTGTTCAACATGCACGAAACCCTGGATCTGATCCCAAGTGCTTCAAGAAAATGAGACGAAAAATCATATTCTCTGAGTTTCTGTGTGAGAGGGGTACATGTGTGAGCTTGTTTGTATGTGTGCATATGTGTGCTTGTGTGTGTATGTGTGTGCACATGGGAAGGATAATCTCAGTGTCTTCCTCAGACTCTGTCCACCTTTTTTTTTTTTTTTTTTTTTTTTGAGACTGTACAGGTCACTGGCCTGCAGCTCACCAAGCAGGCTGGGCTGGCTTACAAGGGAGCCCCAAGAATCTGTCAATCTCCACCTCCCCACTGCTGGGGTAATTCCTACACACCTGGTTTTCCATGTGGGCTACAGGAATTGAACTCATCCTAACTGCAAGGCAAGCACCACACTGACTGAACTGCCTCCCAAGCTCCACCTTTGAAAGTCTTCACTCTGGGCATCTGCACACACAAATGTCAATTTATTCATTTTTGTATTCCATACTGAGCAAGAAGAAAACCCACAAGCATCACACTATCCTGCATCACACGGGAGGACGCACTCACACTATCTGCATCACAAAGGAGGATGCGCTCACACTATCCTGCATCACACAGGAGGACGCGCTCACACTATCCCGCATCACACAGGAGGATGCGCTCACACTATCTGCATCACACAGGAGGATGCGCTCACACTACCCTGCATCACACGAAAGGATGCGCTCACACTATCCTGCATCACACAGGAGGACGTGCTCTAATGTCACACTACCCTGCATCACACAGGAGGACGTGCGCTCTAATGTCACACTACCCTGCATCACATGGGAGGATGTGCTCACACTACCCTACATCACACGAAAGGATGCGCTCACACTATCCTGCATCACACAGGAGGACGCGCTCACACTATCCTGCATCACACAGGAGGATGTGCGCTCT